AGTGTAGAGAACTGCTAGTGCAAAACAATGAGATGTTTCAAACAGCCTTGGTGCTAAAACCACAATGCAGAGAAACAGTCGCTAGGACCCAGGACTGGACAGTACCTGGAACGAGGGTGAGGGAGTCCTGTGAAGACAGGACAGCCTTGCCTCGGCCCCATCCCCCGAGGTCTGTGAAGTGTCTTATTCTCCCCCACACTTACTGCCTGGGGGAGGGTCCTGGTATCACTTCTCTTGGTTTGACTGGTTGCCCCTCTTAATTCGACTGGTATCTCTGCCACTCCTGGAACTGGGATGAGAGAAGGTTCCAGAAGTCCAGAGACTGAAATCTATAAATAGGGACTCTCGCTCTCTCTTGGGGGCACTCTCCACCGAATACTCCCGTTGGCAGGTCCAACTCTGGATCCAGGACTGGTGATTCTCCTCCTCTTCCCTCTTTCTCTCTCCCCCCCCCCCCCCCCCCCCCTCTTCTCCGTCTTCTCATAATCATGAGAGGGCTGGTGAGTATCTAATATTTGTACTCAATATTTGTTTCTATAGAAGCTTTCTATTAAAGCTGGTGTTTGTGTACAGACCTTGAGTGTTGTCTCACCTTAATCCACACTGAGAGGATTTGCAAATCTTAGTTACTCCTCCCCCCTTCCCCCAGGTGGGACGTGACACAGGAGTCGGCAACAACTATTCTGGGAACTGATGTCCTACACCCACTTATGTATCTAGAACAAAAAGGTATAAAAAGTAACTTCGCTACCTACCCAAAAATGAACAGCCCTGCAGCAAGATCTCCCTGACAGACCAGACCCTCACCAGGGACACCTGGCTGACTCCGGACTCCATGACGTGGATCATCTTTGAAGTGACACTTTTTCCATCGCTGATTAGCCCCACTCCTGAAAGTGGTTTGGTGAGTGTTGTACCAGTAACACCTCACACAGTATATTTATAGGTGCATGCAAAGGTAAAGGTTCATAAGTATATACTTGCTTCACTAGTTGGAATTCAATAATAACTTGTAATATATGTATATTTGCTTTACTCTTGTAATACGTATACACTTGCCTGCTTAGTGGTAATTTTGTAGTGACTTGTAGAGAGAGCATGTGTGTATGTGTATATATGTTTTTACTAATAGTAGTTTTGTAGTAATTTGTAATAAAGAAATTTCAGAAACCCAGACCTCCACGTCTTTGTGTATTGCGGAATCTTGAGAACCCCACAGTCACGATCTTTACACATCTGTGGGTCGAGTAGCTCTCATAGGTCATAACTGCGACCACTACAATGAGTAAAGGCACTTTTGCTAGGAAATCAACTACTTGCACTGAAGAAGTAACTGAAGATTAACTTTCACCTGAAGCTGAATAACATAACATAACATTCCTCCAGCATTATTGTACCTCCTCAATTACTGTACTTATCCATTTACTGTTTTTGACAGCCTTTGGATATGATTTTTACAAGGTGAAACAAAGCCAAATTGAGCTATTTCATAATTTTGTCTTGAAAGACAAGGGCTTCCGGACTGATACAAAAGTCCAGACTTGCCACAGCTAAAGGTGCTACAGCATTAGAGTCCCAAATCACCTGGTGCTAAGCAGGTAAATAGACCAGAGATAGTTTTAAAGCTATTTTTGAGGAAAAACACTAGGTAATAGATGATGTAGGGCAGTTGAAGGAAAACCAGGATTGTACTTTTGGATGCCATGCGAGCTGCATAAAGACTCAGCCCGTGAACATACACTCTGATGAGAGGAGGGCCTAGCTCATTCAACCCATCAAGTTATCCATCACTCAACTTCACCTTAAGAGAAAAGTCCATTTTAAAAATCTGAATATGTTTGTTAACACAAGCTGCTGTGACAGATGAGGTCAGTACATTTCTCCCAACTTCAAAGCATGTATGCAAAACCCTTTAACTTGAATCACGAAGGCGATTTAATACAGTTCATCACCTCAACTCTTATTGCCCCCCATCCATCTTTGACATTGTTACTAAGAAAGTGTTGTAGCTGACTAACTGCAAGTGCAATTCAACATTATTGAATATATATAGAGCATACACTACATGAGATCCGAGGACAGCACAGAATACAATAACGGACACCCTTAGAATAGTTATTGCAAGCCTGATTAACCCCCATTTAGTGTCACACAATGTTTCTATTACCATGCATCTACCTTCTTCCTCTCAGCAAGATCTACAGAGGCTTATTTACATTCAGTAAAATTCTACACAAGTAACCTCCTGCAAACAAAGTTGAAACTTTTCTTTTTTGAAAGCAGCTGCAACTAAAAAGGATGAAAGACTGAGATTAAGTTTGAAATGTGCAACTTAGGGTTTCAAAATTACTAGGACAGACAGAAGAATCCTCTGAGAAATGGTTTTCATTGCCACTGCCATAATATTGCAGTGTATTAGAACATAAAGACTAAGTCCAACAACTGTACATCAGAGCAATTAAAAGTTTATCAAGCTGGTATATTCCAACAGTTTAAGAAGTCAATGACAACCTAAAAAAACAGCAAGTTTAAAAAAAAACAAGGAAAAAATACCCTCTAATGCACAGCTATGAACTAGTGAACTGAACACTGGAAAGGTACTTTTGTGGACAAAGGCTATACTGCATTTCAAGTGCAACACTTCACTACACCATTCCCATACTGCAAAGAGAACAAACCTTTCCAAACCATCAGTCAGTCCTTGCATTGCATAAAAGCAAACCCCCCTCCCCTCCAAAAAAACCCACAAAAAAACTCCTGAGAAAGAGTAAGGCTGGATTAGAAAGCCCCTCGACTGCAAAATGCGAGTCTGACTTTTGCTCGTAACAGGTTTGCTATCAGAGGTTAAAACTTTTCATTATAGCATCATGGTCAAACTTGAAGCTCAAGAAAGCTCTTGATGAGAAAGCAAATTTGTAATGGCCATTGCATGCCACAGAGCGTCCCTCTACATGTTCTAGCAGTGGGTCTTCACTGGAGCGCCACATCTTATATGCTGCATCTGCTTAAAGAGGGGGGAAAAAAAGCATGGAACAAATTTTAAACAGCTACTTATCAATAGGAAGATCAATTACAATATTTAATTCTACAAAGCCATACATGAAATGTATATTCAATTAACATTTACAACAAAATCTGTATGTCTGGTCATAAACTGAAAAAGGTAACTCAAACGACCCTATTTACCAGGCATCTAATAGCTAGAATAAAACTTAAAATTCATGGCAATCTGGGGACACTTTCAATAGCCAATTTTACCCATAGATTTCTGTTTTGCAACTCATATCTTAATAAGGAGGAAAGAAATGTGACCTTATTTTCTGAGCAGGAAATAAAGAACTGTGTGAATACTCTCAGAAGCCCTGGTTAATCCAGAGTAGTCCAACATCATCTGCAGCAGGCAGGAAGTACCTGTTACTAGCAGGACAGAAAGCCTTGAACCAACACTTGCTTACCAGCATTATGTTGACTGAGTTGCTACTTTCTAAACCAACTCTCAGTTATTTTCACCCAGCAATAGGGTGAAACCTGACAGTTTTCACAATTAAGGAGAAGAATCGCAAAACCAACATGAAGTTGACCAAATAAAATAAATAATTCAGACTTCCCTAGAAAAACATGTCTTCATAACATTTGGTAGGTTGGCACTCAAGGAAAATAAAAGCCAAACATCATTAGTTAGGTATCTTCAGCCTTTAATGCATGACATTGGATGGAAATTCAGAGTGTACTTGCCTGTTTCAAAGTTATCTTGAAGTCTTCTTGGATTAAGCCTTTTTTCACATTTCTAGTGAAGAGAATGACCACACATTACACACTTCATAAAGAAATAGCCTTTTATTTCTTGGGGGTATTACTTAAGTGTCAGCTAACAGGCACGCTGGTTATATTTGTTTTGACAAACCTCCTGATGTGGTCTTTTCTAAATGTTTTAAGCCAAAAAGGGCTCACATATGATGATACAGAATTGAAGTGGCACCTGCCTGTTCTTAAATCTGACTCTCCTGAAAAGCAACAGGAGAGCATTTACAAACAGGCAGCTAGTGCCAATTAGATTAGCACACATTAGAGACAAACTTAGAAATCTTCAGGGAAGAATTAAGTGCTAGCCCCAGCTATGTATAGGTATACAAATACAGAGAAAAGTATGGGCTTGTGCACTTCATGAAAATTAAGTTTCCTGGCTTCCAAATCCTACTAGAAAATCTCTGGGAAATAAAGTATTTAAACTTCAAAAGATTGACAATCATGAAAACACAAACAAACCACTACAAAAATATTTAACCAAGTTTGTAAAGAGCCTGCACAGTAACTGTGGAGTATTAAAAGTTCCCCTTGTTGACAGGCGCTGCACAGGCAAGGGCAGGACTTTGGATGGCCTAACCCATCGAGAAGGAACTACCTTTGGGGTGCTTTCAAAAGGGTAGAATGCCTGGATATGTCATGGCTTGAGTCACTGCACTGCGCAGGTTGACCAAAGCCCAGCTGTATCAGGCTGTGGCCTGGTGGTTCACCTCCCCCTCCCCCCCCCTCTCTGAGAAATGGTTTTCATTGCCACTGCCATAATATTGCAGTGTATTAGAACATAAAGACTAAGTCCAACAACTGTACATCAGAGCAATTAAAAGTTTATCAAGCTGGTATATTCCAACAGTTTAAGAAGTCAATGACAACCTAAAAAAACAGCAAGTTTAAAAAAAAACAAGGAAAAAATACCCTCTAATGCACAGCTATGAACTAGTGAACTGAACACTGGAAAGGTACTTTTGTGGACAAAGGCTATACTGCATTTCAAGTGCAACACTTCACTACACCATTCCCATACTGCAAAGAGAACAAACCTTTCCAAACCATCAGTCAGTCCTTGCATTGCATAAAAGCAAACCCCCCTCCCCTCCAAAAAAACCCACAAAAAAACTCCTGAGAAAGAGTAAGGCTGGATTAGAAAGCCCCTCGACTGCAAAATGCGAGTCTGACTTTTGCTCGTAACAGGTTTGCTATCAGAGGTTAAAACTTTTCATTATAGCATCATGGTCAAACTTGAAGCTCAAGAAAGCTCTTGATGAGAAAGCAAATTTGTAATGGCCATTGCATGCCACAGAGCGTCCCTCTACATGTTCTAGCAGTGGGTCTTCACTGGAGCGCCACATCTTATATGCTGCATCTGCTTAAAGAGGGGGGAAAAAAAGCATGGAACAAATTTTAAACAGCTACTTATCAATAGGAAGATCAATTACAATATTTAATTCTACAAAGCCATACATGAAATGTATATTCAATTAACATTTACAACAAAATCTGTATGTCTGGTCATAAACTGAAAAAGGTAACTCAAACGACCCTATTTACCAGGCATCTAATAGCTAGAATAAAACTTAAAATTCATGGCAATCTGGGGACACTTTCAATAGCCAATTTTACCCATAGATTTCTGTTTTGCAACTCATATCTTAATAAGGAGGAAAGAAATGTGACCTTATTTTCTGAGCAGGAAATAAAGAACTGTGTGAATACTCTCAGAAGCCCTGGTTAATCCAGAGTAGTCCAACATCATCTGCAGCAGGCAGGAAGTACCTGTTACTAGCAGGACAGAAAGCCTTGAACCAACACTTGCTTACCAGCATTATGTTGACTGAGTTGCTACTTTCTAAACCAACTCTCAGTTATTTTCACCCAGCAATAGGGTGAAACCTGACAGTTTTCACAATTAAGGAGAAGAATCGCAAAACCAACATGAAGTTGACCAAATAAAATAAATAATTCAGACTTCCCTAGAAAAACATGTCTTCATAACATTTGGTAGGTTGGCACTCAAGGAAAATAAAAGCCAAACATCATTAGTTAGGTATCTTCAGCCTTTAATGCATGACATTGGATGGAAATTCAGAGTGTACTTGCCTGTTTCAAAGTTATCTTGAAGTCTTCTTGGATTAAGCCTTTTTTCACATTTCTAGTGAAGAGAATGACCACACATTACACACTTCATAAAGAAATAGCCTTTTATTTCTTGGGGGTATTACTTAAGTGTCAGCTAACAGGCACGCTGGTTATATTTGTTTTGACAAACCTCCTGATGTGGTCTTTTCTAAATGTTTTAAGCCAAAAAGGGCTCACATATGATGATACAGAATTGAAGTGGCACCTGCCTGTTCTTAAATCTGACTCTCCTGAAAAGCAACAGGAGAGCATTTACAAACAGGCAGCTAGTGCCAATTAGATTAGCACACATTAGAGACAAACTTAGAAATCTTCAGGGAAGAATTAAGTGCTAGCCCCAGCTATGTATAGGTATACAAATACAGAGAAAAGTATGGGCTTGTGCACTTCATGAAAATTAAGTTTCCTGGCTTCCAAATCCTACTAGAAAATCTCTGGGAAATAAAGTATTTAAACTTCAAAAGATTGACAATCATGAAAACACAAACAAACCACTACAAAAATATTTAACCAAGTTTGTAAAGAGCCTGCACAGTAACTGTGGAGTATTAAAAGTTCCCCTTGTTGACAGGCGCTGCACAGGCAAGGGCAGGACTTTGGATGGCCTAACCCATCGAGAAGGAACTACCTTTGGGGTGCTTTCAAAAGGGTAGAATGCCTGGATATGTCATGGCTTGAGTCACTGCACTGCGCAGGTTGACCAAAGCCCAGCTGTATCAGGCTGTGGCCTGGTGGTTCACCTCCCCCTCACCCCCCCTCCATTCTGTGGAGCAAGCTGACACCACAGACCCGCAGAGATAAGAAGCGAGGAATGCAACTCTCTAAAAGCTCAAGGACTACAATAGGTGATAACTACAAACAGAATAGCCACCCCCCAAAAGAAAAAAAAAAGAGATCCTGAATATCCATTTGCGATTGGAACATAAGTGGAGCATGGGCTCCTTATGAGCACTAGATTCACGTCCAATTGGTTTGAAGGGGCTGAGCATGGGGTGTAAAAAAGAAATAAAGAAAGAAGCCATGTAGTCTCCTTGCAAACTCACTGTCAACTGGCCTGCGGACAACAACCCACCCATCAGCAGGGACACCCCTGAGGTCAACTGCCAGGGAAGATGCGATTCAGTGATTCAACTCAGAGCCAGGGTGAGGACATTCCAGGGGAAACTGAACCGGAGGGGTAGCTCACAGATAGTGGGCAAGAGCAATAATTTGTGCACCCATGTTATTTGAAATAAGGCCTTAATGTATCAATTGATGGTAAATATCTATCTAGCTGCAATGGAGAAGAACTTTTTAAAAACAACAAACAAAAAACCCCCAACAAACAAACAAACAAACCCCCAAACTTGCCATAGATTCCTTCTGAGTGAATGCATGGTTAGTCCCAGAATCTGAAAGAAATCCCAGACACTCCTCCCGTTGGTGTGTCATACTTGTTTCTATCAAGATCCTACAGACTCCTCTTATCATAAAATACAGCCTTTTTGTAAAGCAAATTTCTAGGCAGTCAATTGTGTGACTTTTCATTTTTCTACTCTCAGACCCAAATGCAGCTAACCACTGCTTTCTACAAATAGAATTTTACAAAGATGACAATGTATGCACTTTTACATGAAAACCAGAAAGAAGGTAATGACTATAAGCCAGAATGGGAAAAGCCTAGCTTATAGCCAGTAAACAAAGTCTGGACTAGCCAGCTGAGCTGCATGGAGAACTTGGGCTCACTGTTGCACAAGAGCCAACAAAGTAGAATTAAGAGAGCCATAAAGAACAAGGGGAAAAAAAATTCAAAGGGACATGTGGTGGGTTGACCCTGGCTGGACACCAGGTGCCCACCAAGCTGCTCTATCGCTTCCCATCCTCAACTGGACAGAGGGGAGAGAAAATACGACAAGAGACTCATGGATCAAGACAAGGACAGGGAGATCACTCAGCAATTACTGTCACAGGCAAAACAGATGCGACGGGGAAATTAATTTAATTTATTACCAATCAAATCAGAGCAAGGTAATGAGAAATAAAACCAAATCTTAAAACACCTTCCCCCTACCCATCCCTTCTTCCCAGGCTCAACTTCACTCCTAATTTCCTCTACCTCCTCCCCCCCCCACGCA